TGTGCAACGGAAATGCCAGCAGAACGAAGGAGCTGATACCCTCTGCTTCCTGTCTTGGCACACTTTCCACCAAAAATCACATCTGCCAGGATCTTCAACTGCAGGGTTGATTCCTCAGAGATCAGACACTCTGGTCTGTGACCTCAAAAGATGCACAATTAATTGATAAAATGTCACTCACATGTAACCCTTTTCTAAGGGATTTTCTTCGGGATTTTCTTTGGTTTTTCGCAAGAGTTTTCTTTAATTAAAATTTTTGCACTACACTTTTTAATTAGCGTGAGAATATCACGTATATTTATTCGGGATTCTGCAGTTTCCTTTCATTTATCAGACGAACTCGAGGGCTGTCATTTTCCATTTTGCCGACGCTTCGCAATCTCGCGCACCGCGGACCAGCCTTAAATTGTCACAAACCAAGTCCGAAGCTGGCCGCTCGACAATTGATTGCCCTACTCGGCAGTTGGCGCTAAACAAACAAATTCAGAGAACTCTGGAGAGAAACGGGGAAAGAGCGCAAGCTGTTGACAACCCGTTAAAAATAGAGGAAAAACGACAAGTGAATCTGAGAAACGACCTCCAAAAAGCAGCAGAACCTTTTTGATATAAGTACTTTATAAGCTTCGTGCCGGAGGATCGTTTGCGATCGTGCAGCCGACAAATGTGGGACCGACCGAACACTTGCTCGAAAAATTATTATACTCGCTCGTGTAGTTAGTATCTGTGATGGCACGATCCACATGGAAGTGTGTACTATGCACCCCGCGACTGATATCTGGAGCCAATTTACTATCTATTCTATAACTTGAAAATTATTTATGGAAGAGGAAAACAGGCGAAAAAGAATCGGCACTGCGAGAAAAATGGGAGCGGAAAGAATCTAGTTAGTCATAGTTAGTTGTTAGCCAGCTCGGATATATGAATGAATGAAAGGCAATCGAAGCGATAGTCCCCTATCTTTATAGCTGTCTATCAAAACTATCATAAACTTGATTATTACTTAACTACAATGGCATAAATATGATCTAAGCCTAATTGAACTTTGACGGAATGCACTATAAATAACAAAAGAGGTGAAAAATTGGGGTAATAAGAAAATTGCCAAAGCTTATACTATTTTTGTTTAGAAAAACTATACTCTTTTTTAATAGAAAAACATTCAAACAGTCAATATTACCAGCAACATAATTTTTTGGAACATGCACAGTAAAATGTTTAAGGTAAACATTTTTATAATCTTAGGTTTTGGTTTTGGTTTCTCTAAATTCTAATTTGTCAGTACTATTTTAAGAACTCCCTGCGCATAAAGATATTATACTACCCTTTCTCAAAAAATAACCCATATTTATTTAATAAAACATCGCTAACTCCCGCATATCGGAACTATCTTCAGTGACCACAGACGGGTATTCCATACCAAAACATAAACAAAGTTCTGGGAGAAGGTCTCCGCTCATAAACAATAGAACAGTGACAAGATACTGACAGTTACGCCGATAAAACCAAGCCCGCTCATATACCATACCCACATGCCCGGTGGAATAGGGGGTCCGATTCCCATACACACTCCACTTTGTTTCCGTATAATTCGACATCTAAATAAACGATCTCTTGGCACAGTCCAGTTCTATTTATCTGCAACAGAAGCCTTGACGTAATGTCGTAAACAAAAGACAATGTGACTAGGTCGCTCAGATTAACTGGGTAATGGGGAAAAAACCCTCTATAATAGGGAATGAATAATAGTAGGAGGTGATGAACTATTTGTAATTTATAACTAGTGTCGTTTGATTAATTGGTAACATAGTTTATGGAATTATCATTTTAAGAGAAAATGAGTTGAGAATATTGTAACCCTCTGTTGGGTATTTCATAGTAAACTACGCCTCAGTTAAAACCCCTTGTCTTAAGCCATATAACGTATACGCAGGGTCTGCCCAGAGCTATCATTGCCCGTTTCTATCTAGACAACATGGTTGGATTGTGTGCAATCGAAGCGACAAAAAAACACTTTTGCTTTCGGACAGTAAAACGTCGAACTCGGCTGAGTCCGAAACCGAATCGAATCGTAGGAAATTGAAACGAGCAAATAAATGTCAAAAGTGTGTATTCGGTAATAAATTGTCGAAATTGGAAGAATAATTCGGGTGTTGTAAATCCATAAAAATATCAGGTGCGATGCATGCGCCGTATCCCCAGCCCCACTCCCCCTCCCCCGCTCCTTAACCCTCTGGCCCACTCTCGATGATATTTTTCGTTCTTCTGCGATGAAGCAACGCAATCCAAAAAAAAAAAACTATAGAAGCGTTGAAGGAGAAGCAAGTACGCACAAGTGCACCATAAAACGTAGTGAGACGTGCGCTCTGATAGATGATATCATCAGGAAATACAAACATAGATTCTCTCTTTTTGTAGATCGATTTCCATGTGTGCTTAACCCATATTTACTTAGAATTAGGAAGGGGTAGTTGTCGATTTAATTTTAAAACACCTTCAAAATTTGCTAAAACAAGAACAACATGTGCCTTATTCATAAGTGTATAACAAAAAATAGAAAATATAATCTAATATAAATTTATTTCCTATTTATATTTATTGGTAAATGCACAAGTTTAAAAAATGTTAGGTTTCTGAATCCAAACCTATCGTAATTCTTAAAACAATTTCTTACTTTTGTTAGTAAGTCGAGTATTGGCCAAAACAAGGGTTAATCCTCAAGCAGAGAGACATTTGCAACTCACTCAGTCAAAAGATGAAAGCAAAAGTCAAGTAGCGCTGATGGAACTTCATAAATTACTGCTTTATAGAGTATCCAATAGCACGGGCCATAAAGTGGGGCCCACTGATAACCCAGTGCTGGGTACACCACCACCAGCCGCATAATCTTGATCCCAATGCTTATCTGGCGTTTATCTCTGGCTCCGCGAAAGAACTTTTGGGACGGTGGAAACTTTGTCTACTGCAAATTGTATCTAGCACCGGCGATCTGACCAAGTTTACACCCGAATTTAAGACGCCCAATTCGAGTCTCCTCCCATTATCTGCCCACGAGCCGTAAATTCTTCGAGTGCGACACTTTTATTTTGATGTATTTACGACGCCTTAATGTGTTGAGAAAGAACCCACAGTACAAGTGATTGGTGTTTGACTCTTCCATTATCAGGCGACACCGAATGTTATGTTTTATGATCCTATATATAGCCGTTTCTTGCCTAATTGAATGATATGATAGCAGGTTTTAGAAAATATTTTAATAGCTCTTAATACAATCGATTCACAGGTCATAAAAGTGCTGATACTCGAGTCCGATAACGATTTTACCATCGACCAGAGTCGACCAAAACTGACTGAGTAGCCGATCGTGATGGAAACAGTGAAGATGGTGGTGATAATGATATGATGATGGTCACGATTGCCAGGAACTTCTGGCTATCGCTCAGAGATTAGCATTCTTTTTTATTTGGTGGTTTTTGGCAAGTGGTTATAGGGAAACTCGTGTTAGATAGTGATTTTAAGGGGGTAGTGGTTCTTTCGAGAGGAAGAATATAATAAAAACAATATTTGCTAGCCTATTCAAGGTAGACGTAATTAACTTGCTTAAAATTAAAGACTGAGCTAAACTAATTTGTATGCTCAATGTTTTCAACTATTTCTCATACATATGCTTTTTTTCCTGCTTTATATCGGGGTCCCGATATTCTTTCAAAATTTGTAGATTTCCATTCAATTATTCCTGACGTACTTCTGACATATTATTATCAACATATAAGTTTGAAACATAAGCGATATCTTGCATTTCCAAGAACTATCCAATCAATTCCGCCTGGCATAATTATGAGCTCAAACCAGAAAAGCTTTGATCCCCCCAGGAATTAAATCTTTCGACGAATATGCGTTGTTTGAATCACTTCTATTTTAAATACAACGAAACAACTACGATAGAGAACTGCATTAGGAAATCCGGCAAACTTTTGACGGGATTAAGTGTTCAGCAAAGCGTCATGAAATTATCCGATGATTCGTATAAACATGGGCTATTTGACTAATCTACACTGCGTACTTGAAATCTATTCTTTCTTTTACTTAAGAAAATTTATCAGCAGCATTGTTTAAAAAAACAAAAAAAAAAGAATTCTACAAGTTTTTAATGTTAGATAATGATAAAAACAACAGTAGCAGTCTCAGCTTAAGACTAATTCCTGTCTTCAAAACGTTCCCTTCATTTCTACTTAAACAAATTTAAAAAGAAATCGCTTTATCTGAGCACAAGAGGAAATAAAGACGGATAAAAAAAGAGTCATTTAAAAAAACGCAAAAATAAATCTTTCCTAATTGAAACAGATGTCGGGGATATATTTTGAGATAAATTAGAGGGCACGAGCAGAGCTACGTCTTATTCTGAGTCAAAATTCCCGCTTTATAAAAGATTGTGTCCCTGGGGAATGCCGTAACTGCACTCCTCACTTCTCTTCACTGATTATACGTTATTTTATGGCCCCTAAAGGGCTATGATATACTTGTATATTTTTCGAGTGTTGATATGATTATTCAACCGCATTATACGTTTCATATATGGGAAATCTCTGCTCTTTTATAAGATTATAATAATACCAATAACATTATTTTGTATTGAATTAAACCAATCAAATATGAAAAAATAAAAAATAATTAAATGCTAAAAATCCACGTCTATGAATATATAAAATATCATAAATATTAATTGTAATCTTTAAAATTTGTAGTTTTTCATAATGGGTCTCCTCGGGATAATTATGGTGAAATGCTTTTTTGTTGAACAAGTACTTCTTGTGAAAGCACAATTACTTATAAGCAGCACTTGTTTCAACTCAATAAATCAAATCGTTTTCAAATTTAAGTGTTTAAGTTAAGTTAATATATTTTTTGACCTTGGCTTAAACAACTTATTTAATTCTCAAACATCTTAACCTTTTCCCGTGAAACCAATTTGAAGAATCCTTCAGTTTAAAGTATATACTCACCCTGGTCGAATTTCCTTGCAATCGCTTTCGATCGCATTATAATCTCCAGCAGTGACGTCATTAATCTATACTATTTTGATATCCATGGCCAGAAGTTGAAGACTCAGGGGAAATGCTTTTAGCAATGCAGCCGAATATGGGCCACTGACATTGACATACTCCGCTATGCTCTTTCTCCCTCCTTTTTTCCCTGTTGCACTCACTCTTTCGCGGCCTTTTTTTAGTGGCAAGTTAAGCCAAGAAGTCGAAACAATTAGAAATCACTTTTGCAAATCAAGAACACAAGTTTTTCCGGGGTGGACAACCGACACAACTGCATTTGCATAAAATCTCGACGTAGCTTTGGGGTGGTGTTTATAAACTGTTATTAAGGCAGCAAAAATCTTTCCAATGTCTGCCTGTTTTTTATTTGTCCTTTTTTTCCCTATTTTTTATTGCACACGCGTCTCGAAAAGTCATGTGGGGTTGTAGGAAAATATAGAGAAAAACCCAAACAAAACCGACGGCAAAAAGAGGCGGTTGCTGTAGTGGTTCGAGTTTTGTTTTGGAAAATCAGTTTAAGGCACACACAGTTGGGAAATGCGAAATGCAAAATGCAAAATGCGAAAATGGAACTGGAGCTGGAACCGGTGGAACCTGGAGAGCAAAAACCACCTGAACACACCTGCCCCACAAAGCTCCTCGAAAGCGACTGACTGACGACGGAACTCGAGGCAGAAAACGGAGAACAGGAACGGAAAACTGAAAACAGAAATTACGCTGAGCGGAGCAGAGAACGCCGACTATTTCGTCTATGCGCTATAGTTTCTTTTTCCCCCAGCTTTTCCCCCCACCCTCACACACTCATTTGCTATTTTCCATACCTAAAAGGTATAAAAAAGTGGAGGAGAAAAAAGAAAACCCGCCAAGGCAAGGAAAAAAGGAGACTGACTACCGCGGCGGCAATTATGAAGGAACGGGTGGAGCTCCCGAAACTCAGTCGCACCACCAACCAACCAACCACACAGGCACGTGCTCGCCGTGGTAGTGGTGACTTCAGGTGATTTCTGGTCTTTCTGGCTCTTTTGCTACCTCGTTTCGAGTGTGTGAGTGCGGGCAGCCAAAGGACACTAACGACAGGGCACGAAAAACGCAACGTAATTCATGCAAATGAAGTCACGCAAGATTCCCCGCTCCGCGGCAGAAAGACAAGGTTCCCCGGTTCCCCAAATGAAACCTCGACGATTGCCCATCCAATGGGCTTTCACCTGGCCAAAGGGGAATGGGAGGTGGGTGGAACCCTCATTGGCTGTAATTTGGACATTGCTTCGGAGAATCATAAAGGCGATGATTCGTACTAAAGACATTTTATGGTCAGGTGACATATATAAGAAAACTAAACTACGTAGCATTAGGCGAAGCAAACAAATTAACAAAATTGAGTATTACAATTGCTTAAAATATCTTTAAATTTTTGAAACAATTTTTCAGGAAGTACTATTTCTAAAGGTATTTTTAATATATATAAGGCCCCTTTTGATAAATGACTTACGTTTTCTCAGTTTAAAGCTAACATTGATTTCAAAGAAAACCTTACAATTTTTTCTTCTTCAAAAACTGTATTTCTTTGATTTTGAAAGGGGGTTTCCGACATTGTAGATCCTAGAGTCCAGCCCAAGCTACCCTTTTCCTATTTTCCTCTGGAAGTCAGGTAAAAATGGTCGCTTAACCTTGCTATCTTGGCCATCTATCTATATGGCTGTTATTAAAGCCCAACAGGCCGTGCACATGCCAAGTAAGTTTTGGGCCTAAGTCCTTAACGTTTCCCCTTTACAGCTGCTATGAGACCCCCTCTACTACCCCTCCTTAACCCCTCTATATTCCATCTAGATACCCCCGTCGTAACCCTGCCTATCACCCACTGAGAAAATTTATGCAACACCCACTCTATTACCACACTCGAAACACAAAAGACTGGGACCACCCTCTGACCAATGGGCAGGCAAAAGACACGACTGGAAGGGGGGGCAGAGGAGGTGGGTCTGTCACAAAGGGGGGGTTGTGGGTGGCTTGGAGGGGGTGGCTTAGATTTGTCGACTGCTCAGTCCGCGTGTCAGTCGTTTGTCATATAGGCCCGGCAATGTCGGACGTCTGACGTCGTCGTCTGGAACTCTTTTCAAGTACATGCAATCAATATTTTGCTTGCATTAATTATTCATGCTAGAAACGAGCCATCCCCTTGCCACCCACTTTTAATCCCCTCCTCACCGCCCCCTTTCACCGGCGCCTCTGGCCAGTCTGGATAATATTATTTCTGCCTTTAGCTGCGTTCCAATTCCAGCGCATTGCTGGCATTTTTTCTTTATTACCAAGCGAAAGAGGCAAACAGGCCCAAACGAAAGAGAGGGCGCTACTCGAGAAGAAAGAGAGAGAGAAGGAATCATACAGGAGTAGAGTGAGAGGGGTATAGGCAGATCGGGTGGGTGGCAAAGCCATAATAAAAGTAAGTCAGCCGAGGGAAAAACATTTGTTTTTGTTCCATCTCGTAAAATGTATGCGAAGATTTTCGCCAACGTTCAAATCTTTTAACGATTGTTGTTGCTGTTCAGTTTGGGTCAGCTTTATGGAACGTATAATTGGCTCAAACGGATCTTGGCATTCAAATGCGCTGCGCCTTATTAATAATTGCAATTTTCATAGCTGTTTATCTAACTCTTCGTACGTCATTTGGGGCGCCAAATGTTTTTGGCTTTTTGGGGGGGAGGTGGTTATGGAAACAGGGCATGGTGCCAGGTCCATTGTTCTATTTTTACACTGCACTTGATCTTGCCAAACAAATATAAATTTACACAGTACATGCACACTGGAGGGCAGAACTTTGTTGGGATTTTAGCCAATTATTCCAAGGTCGCCCACTTGTGTGGAAAAGGCCACAAAAAAAGGGGTGAGAGGATGTGCTTAAAATGCATCATCATGGGACTGCAACCATTTCTATAATAGGGCATAGCGAAAGGAAATTAAATCATGCTCCGGATAAGTCTATATCAACAGACTTTAGCGTTTGCCTAGAAAAAAGGGGAACCCATTGGAAGATAACTCCACGTACTCAATTCATTTGACGTAATACGTTTTTTTTATCATCTAACTGGTTTTAAGTACTAGTTGATTTTGAATTGTAATTAACAATTAACAATGGTGCAAACGTATTTTATTTATTTTACTAGTGACCTACATTATTTATCATAATTCTTGTATCAAGTAGTAGTATAATTTCTTTTAATAAGTATAACAAAATGTATGCTTCAATATAGTATCACAATTATTTTTATTTATATTATTAATATGTAAAATAACAAATTAATTTTAGACGTAGGATATTATTGACTTACAGTGTTGGAAAAGAAAATTTTCATATTTTAGTCTTGCAGGAACTTAATTTTCCAGTATTTGTTTTATATGTTTAACTATGGCTGGAATATATGTACTGTTCCAAAGGTTCACTTGTTTTTAAGATCCCTAGGCTGACCCCAATTGTAGAAACCCACTCTTTTTAATTAAGAGCTTAATCCAAAATGATTACCGCCTTAAGAGGCAAAGGGAAAAGTATCTGGGAAAGCCTTTTCATTATCGCAGTGGCGAGATTCTCATTAATTTCTCTTCGGGCAGGGGAAAGGGGTAGAGAAAGTGGAGAGTGGCCGAAGCGAAATGAAATAATTTCAGCGCACTTTTAATTATCAGGAAATTACAAGCGCACACATCGGGTGCTTATACATACATACATATATACTTGTATTGAGAGGAGCATTTATTTTGTATATAGTGGGAGATGCAGTTTTCAGTATGAGGTAATCGTGCAGCAGGCTAAAACACCCCCACCCCCACCCTTAGCCCCCACACACTCACTCATAGCCCACTCACACAGGCGCACAAATACAGACAAACGCAGGCTTCTGACTGGCGGGCATTCAATGGAGTTGTTGCTGTTGTTGTCGCCATTTCGCTATCGTCTCCCTTATCTCTTTGTATTATCTCTCTCTCTTTGTGGGGATAGGGATGGGTCAGGTGTTTGGGGAAGAGCGGAGAGCGAATGTCATTCGTTTGTCATCGGCAAAAACTTTGGCGTCGCAGCCACTCTCTCTCTGTCGCCCCCTCTCTTTTTGGCCGCTTCTGCGCTCTAATTCGCTTGGGGTGGAGCTTTGTTCGGGAGAGCGAGAAAGAGAAAAAGAGCTGCGGCGAATTCATCAGGTTGCTTGTTGCTCTTTGGCATTGCTGCTGGCATTTGATTAATGAAGTGTGTTAAGAGGTTACCAGCCAAGGACAAAGGCTCTCCAAGAGGTCCTTGACTGTGGCAGAAATATATGTATATACGTATATAGACATATCTCAAAAGAAAAGACAACTAGGGGCGTGGTCTCTGCTGCTGCTGTAGCTGCTGCTACAACTACTGCTGCTGTTATCATATCTCTCTATCGCTGCTCATTTGGCGCTCTCTATCTCATAGGATATGGCCATCTCGCTCGCTCATCTGTTGCTGCTGCTGTTGCTCTTTCGCTTTGGCCAACGTTGCGTATACGTAATGTGCGCCAAATTGTGTCGCCACACTGTCGTTGGTCCATTGATGTGCGCTGATAGCGACAGTGGCCAGAAGCAGCGACGCAGCACCAGCAGCAGCAACAACAGCAGCAACAACAGCAACAACAACAGCAACATCAACCTGCCAGCAGCAAAAACTAAGTGCAAAATGGCGTTTTTAGGTATATATATTATATATATGTATATATATATATAACAACCAAGAGACAGAGAACCCTATAGATATTCACCTCTCTGAAAAACACCACTCCAACCATAACTCCTATTTATCATTCGCTGGATATATCTCCTCTCCAACTTTGCCGTGCAACTTTCTTGTGACTGTGAAAATAAACAACAGGCGAAAAAAATAAAAGCCCAGCCAACAAGAACAAACAAAAACCCTGCCGCAAAAAGAGGCAACTCCTTGTTGTTGCTGCTTGTGCTGATGTTGCTGCTGTGTTTATTGCCTTCAGCTGCCGTGGCAGTCGCAGCACTGAGTTTTATGTCTTCATTAACTGAAAAAGTTATGAGCCATGGCTGCGGGGATGGCAAGGAAAGGCCTAAATGGGAATGGAGGTGGAAAGAACGAAGGAAAGACCTGACCGCAGCATCCATCTGTAAAAACCGTAATTGGACTTGGAACGATGGTTGACAATATTCCCTTTTCCTTTCGCAACAACAGGGAAAGGTATATTACTATAAAGATTTTTTGTGATCTGCGTCATGGTAATCAGTTTTAGTCATGTGCAGATTCTAAGTTTACAGCAACTCATTCTGAAGTTGCACAGTGGTGTTGACTACTCAAAGTTACAAAACAATATTTGGAAAAGGCTAAAAAGAAATATAATGTGTACAATATTTACGCAGAAATAATGTTTCAGAAACTTCAGACCTGACTTTCACATAGCATTTTTTAATTGTTTCGAAATATTAAAAAAATTGTTTTATTTTGTGTATTGCTTATAATTATAAAAACCTTCAGGATACATTTCTTAGAAATGTGAAAAAATGTCCCAAGTTTGTTTGGTTTTGTATTCTACGAACTTAGGCTTAAGAAGCTTGTAAAGATAACCGAATAAGTCGTTGTTAGGGAAAGTTGTCTTTAATTTGCCCCACTGTTA